GTCGTGCATTGTATTACAGATATTTTCTAAGGGAGCAGGACTGGCATATGGTTCTGCGCTGCTGAATCGCAGTCGTTCCTGGGAAGAGGTCTGATATTTCGTACGAACTGCTTAGCTTTGCTTGTTTCTCAAACCTCTGAAGTTTATGAATAAAGGGGTTCTATGTTTCGTGATTTTTCTGCGCGCTGTTGTGGCATGCTTACGAGGTCGGCATTGATGGTAGCTCGTGGAGGCTCGTGTGCAGCGTCTGGTGGGCGATCATGCAGGGCATGATGCGCCCGGTCACAGCCGGTTCTCTAGTGTTTCTTTGCTGGGGTGCTGACATGATCTGTGGTTTGTGGGGCTCGGGAGGAAGGCAGCTGGGTTCGCGGCCATGAGTGTGGCGAGTAGATCGCGTCGAGTCCGGGGACGTTGTGGTTGTCATCTATTGCGCCTCATGTAACCAGCGAAAATCTTAAATTTCAGCTCGCGGCTTCTCTATTCCTTAATGCGACAGCATTATTATTCCATGTCGATGAGCTCTTTAAACATGTCTTTTTTGGGCATTCTAGCCTACGAACTCAAAATTGCCTCCCAATTAATGTGAGAATTTAAAGTCAAATTGTTAAGCCACGCTTTGTCTTTCTTCGCTTAGTTTGGGAAAGTCTATGTTGCTATCATATCTTGTTTTATCTGTACGGGAAAATGTCTCAACACCGTCGTTCAAGAGATGGCTACTTCGACCGAACGTCCTAGTCAACTTATAGCCCATTTGGTCATTCGCTGTGCTATGGGTGTATGTTCCTTCGTTTGCTTAAAGTTATTAATACATTATTCTTGTTACAAAGGCTGTTTTAATCGATTTACCTTCTTCGAAATAATTTTGAAGCGGTCTACGCCCTTCACTTCATTAAAGGTTACATTTCGAAGAGGATAGTGTTAAAATGTTACTCGAGAGAACTGGCTTCCTAATTCGAATGTCACGAAGTGACCTGTGTATGTCGCAGTGCGGATTTTGATTGCATAGACTATGTTAGTTCAAAGATTTAGTCTAAATAATAGATACATCCTCTTCGGAAGTTTCGTTGCTTAATACCCTTCCGTTCTGTGATGAGTTTTAGGGTTGTAGGTATCTTGATGCAGTACATGTGCGATAATTGGTTCTTTTAACTGTCCCTTCGGTGTAGTAGGTTTATGGAACCGTTTTTCAATTTGGTTACACCGTGGCATTTAAGCCGTCGAAATTGCTCGCGTTCGCCACCTAGAATTCATTCACAATCTACTTCGCGTTTGCTGTTTTGGTCTCAAGTAGTTGATTCAAGCGAGATGCTTGATGGTTATACGACCGGACCACTGCTGTTTATAATGGCGCTCCATACATTATGGTTGCCGATGTCTTAATGGAATGATTTGGTAGTATATGCTTTAATGTCCCCTTTTAATTTTGCAGAATTCACACTAGAAGTATACTTTAGGTATTGCGTTAAGCAATCCGACAATCATTTGTTGTTTGGTCATGCATTTACCTGTTTAAGAGGCTTTCATTGCGTTAATTTACAAGCTGCTTTGTCTACTCACTTGCAGGATTCTACAGGTACACCGCATCAAAGCGAAACTCCTACAGCTTCACAGTCCAATGCGCAGCTTCATCGGGGTACCATCCCCATCTACCGACGGGGTTACGGAGCAGTACGTTCTCGCGGCGTCACGCCTCGTCCTTTAGTGTGGGAGGATGGTCGTCTGCGACAGATCGAGGTACCCGAGCACTCGCATAACAATCTACCCTTCCCTGGTGCAGTGGTAGGTCGTGGTGGCATCTTTCCACCTTCATCTCTTCCTCCTCTCTCCTCTTCTGTTTCTCCTGCTACTGGTGGAGAGGGTACTGAGGGTGGTATGGAGATTCGATCTTCCTTACTCCGGGGTCGAGGACGCACTAGTCGGCAGCGTGGTCGTGGAAAGAGTTCCACTCCCCTTG